TAAAGAATTTGAGATTCGTGTAAGTATGAAACCAAAAGTTTAGGATGTATTTGGTTCTGTTGTAAATAGTACTTGAGTGAAATTTTTTCCCCACGAATCTGAGAGTTGTGTGGGCTGCTATATATCACCTATTTTTTTCATTCTTTTATTACACACAGAGTATATAGCAAGATATCATTTGCATTCATTAATTTCTTAATAATTATCTTCAAACTTGGAAACTAATCATGAGAATCCATGTAGACTATAATACAAAATGGTGACAAAAACCGGTGATATATAGCATTTCTCAAAAGTTGTTAACAACAAGGTGAAGTGTTTCTGTGGAAAAATATTCTTTTACATTTAAATTTCTCTTAAGGTGCCAACAATTTTTACGTTACTAATTTCTTTTGATCCGAAATTGCTAATCTATTGGATTATTTCGTTGTTATCATACCCCATTTTATAGTATATTAACTATATGGCATTGCTTTGAATAGGTTTTTGAGTGGCAACATGCTAAGTGGAAATGTACCAGATACAATCTTGAAGGATGGACTTAGTATGTATGTTTTTATCTTGAGTGCTTATTTTCAGAAATTTGTATTTGCGTGCATGTTTGTTGTTCATCAAGTTGAGTCGGAAATTATTGTAAATTTTAATCTTTATGGTCTTGTTGGGAAAAATTAGTAGTTGAAGTATGGAAGTAACCAAATTAATTAACTATATTTGGTATTAGAAGGAAAATTTTTTCCAGTAGATTCATCATTCACAATGTATTCTCCCAACTGATGCTCGCAAAAGAAAGTTGTATCAGCTGTACACTCTATCTAGAAGTCTTTTTTTTTTCCTGAATCTGTAAGTACTTAGTGTTCTTTCTGACTTCCTCTCTGCAGTTATGGCCTGCTTGCATTAACTCATCTTGTGTAAGTGGCTCAAAGGGTTCTGTTTTGCATATTAAACCATTTCAATAGTAAATCATTATTGGGCAAGGCTTTTCTCGGCTTCTGATCTCAGGCTTTATAATTTCCACAAATCCATTCAATACTATTGACTAAGCTGTGCATGTTACATGAGTGGATGCATTATGTTGTGCCTCACAATCAATAGCCCATCATACTTTTACGTATAAAAAGTTCCTTCCTTGGAAGCAAAATTGTATATCAGCCCTGCTGCCACTTCTTATTCTATTGACTTAAGAAGTACGGACATGGACACGTGATATCAAACGGACAGGCCGACACAAAAACTTTCAAAAAATTTAGGACGCAACACGTGGAGTGTAATTTTATATATTTATTATATGTCATATAACAGATATTTTGCAGAAAGTAAAACTTTTCTATTATTCAAAGAGAATGAATAGTACAATTTACAGAAATGAAGATATTTATAAACTACACAAACTAACTCTGGTTCAAGCTAACTAATGCATAACAAACTACACAAACTAACTCTAGTTCAAGCTAACTAATGCATAACAAACTAACTAACTCTAGTTTATTCTGTAACTACCTAACTACTCTGTTAACTACTCTGTAACTGTCTAACTGATGCAATGATGTAGCCACAGCAGCTGCAGGTGCTGATGATGAGGAAGAAGTTGAAGCTGTCAACTGAGTAGCTGGAGCTGGAGAAGCTTGATCAAGAAGCTTGATCATGACTAGAAGCTTGATCATGGCTAGTCTGTTTAACAGGCCCCTTCAAGCTGAGAGGGATGACAGATCCCAGAAGCTTGTTCTGTAGATACAAAAATCGAGGAGAGGGGAGAGGCTTGGTGAACAAATCAGCAAGCTGATCCATAGAAGAAACATGATGAATAAGAAGTTTCTTGGCTGCAACTCTTTCTCGAACATAATGATAATCAACTTCAATATGTTTAGATCTGGCATGAAACACAGGATTGCTGGATAAGGAAATTGCAGATAGATTATCACACCAAAGGATGGGAGCTGGAACTGCAATATGAAGATTTGACAGTAGCATGCCAAGCCAGCTTAATTCAGCACCAGTTTGAGCAAGAGCTCTATACTCAGCCTCAGTGGAAGACCTAGACACGGTAGGTTGCTTCTTAGCGGACCAGGAAATCAAATTAGGACCTAAAAACACACAATAACCAGTGGTTGAGCCGCGGTCCAGGGAACAGCCTGCCCAATCTGAGTCGGAAAAGGCATGGAAGGTGAGAGGACCAGGAGCAAAATGGAGACCTTGATGAAGAGTGCCTTTCAGATATCTGAGAATTCTTTTAACCAAAGCAAAATGGCTGGTAAGAGGGGGTTGAAGAAATTGGCATGCATGATTAACAACAAAGGCTAAGTCAGGACGAGTAATAGTAAGATATTGTAAGGCACCAACAAGACTACGATAGAGAGAAGGCTGAGAAAAGGGTAAATCATCAACTGAATCAATACAAGTTTTGAGAGGCAAAGGGGAAGGAGAAGATTTGTAATTTGTCATACCAGCTTTAACCAAAATTTCAGTAGCATACTTTCTTTGAGATAAAAAATATCCTGAAGAAGAAGTAGTAACAGAGATTCCCAAAAAATAATTGATCAGCCCCAATTCCTTCATAGAGAAGGTAGAATGCATCTGAGTAATGAGAGTGGAAATATAGGAAGAATCACTTCCTGTAAGTAAAATGTCATCAACATAGATTAAAAGGACAGTGATAGAGTGAGAAGTCTTTTTAACAAACAGAGAGGAATCACAGTGACTAGCCTTAAAACCTTGAGTAAGAAGAAAAAAGGAAAAAGTAGAGAACCAGGCCCTAGGTGCTTGCTTGAGGCCATACAAGGCTTTATTGAGTTTGCAAACTAGGGAAGGTTTGTTTGGAACAACAAAACCAATAGGTTGATGCATATACACTTCCTCCTCTAAAATACCATGAAGAAATGCATTCGAAATGTCCAGCTGTTTAATAGACCACTGAAAATGAAGAGCCAAACAGAGGAGAATTCTAATAGTAGGTTGTTTGGCGACAGGACTAAATGTTTCAAAGTAATCAATGCCCTCAGTTTGAAGAAACCCTTTTGCAACCAATCGGGCTTTATACCGAGCAATAGTCCCATCAGAATTTTTCTTAAGGCGAAATACCCATTTACAACTGATAGCCTTTTTGTTGGGAGGAAGATGGACCAAAGTCCAAGTACCTTGTTTGATAAAGGCAGTGTATTCCTCCTTCATGGCAGTAGTCCATGCACTGGATTGAGACGCCTCCTGATAGGATTGAGGCTCAGTATACTCAGAAGAGGTGAGAAAACACTGGTGCAGAGATTTAGACCTAGTGATCATGGGATAAATGTTAGGATGAGAATTAGAGTGGATAGAATGAGAGGAAGGAATAGAAGGTAAAAGAACAGATAAGGAAGAGATGGGAATTTGAGGCTCAGAAGTAGGCTTGGAGATAGAAGAAGAAGGAAGCAAACCAGCAGACTGAGACAGAGCAGCAGCAGACTTGCGCAAACCAGCAGCAGCAGACTGAGAGAAATCAGCAGTTGGAGCAGAAACAGAAAGTAGACTGCCAAGAGGAGCAACAGTGGCTGGAACAGAATCAAATTGACCAAAAACAATTGGACTTTGTGAAGGTGGTGAGAACTGAGACTGTGGTGAAATTGATGACTGTGGGGATTGAGTTGAAGCAGGATTTGGTATTGGTGACTGTGCTGAAATGTGGAAATGTGACTGAGCTGAAACAGGAAAAACTAAAGATGGAGCAGACCAGAAAAATGAGTTCAGCTGGGGCAAAGATGGAGAAGCAGGCTTAACTGATGAAGAAGAAGCAAAAGGAAAGACATCTTCATCAAAAACAACATGTCTGGAAACATGAATTTGTCCAGTAGTAGGATCAAGACATCTATAGCCCTTGGTAGATGGAATGTAACCAAGAAACACACAAGGTATAGACCTAGGTTGGAGTTTATTGGAAACATAAGGTTTAAGCCATGGATAACATCTGCAACCAAAAGTTCTGAGCAATGTATAATCAGGAGCATGGTGGTACAACATTTCAAAAGGAGTAAGAAAATTGATCTTAGCTGTAGGAAGTCTATTAATGAGAAAAACAGATGTGGCAAGAGCATCAAACCAATAAGCAAGAGGCAAGGCAGAGTGGTGCATAAGAGCAATGGTAGTCTCTATGAGATGTCTATGTTTCCTCTCTGCTACTCCATTTTGAGCAGGTGTGTGAGGACAACTTAACTGATGTTGGATACCATGACTCTTTAAGAACTCATGAAACTTGGTGCTAAGATATTCACCACCATTGTCACTTCTTAACACTTGTAATTGAGTAGAGAATTGTGTTTCAACAAATGCTTTAAATTCCAAAAACTTATGAAAAACTTCACTTTTATAATGGAGAGGAAACAACAATGTAAACTTGTTATAGTCATTAATGAACAACACATAATATTTGTAGAAAGAAACAGATGAAGTAAATGGTCCCCATACATCAGAGTGAATAAGAGCTAATGGCTTATTAACTGTAGAATTAGACAAGCTAAAAGGGAGTCTATGACTTTTGGAAACACAACAATGGGAGCACATTTTATTATCAATAACAGATGGAACATTTACAGATGAAGAAGGGAACAAATGATGTGTAACAATGTGCTGAAGTTTCCTTGAAGAAGGATGGCCTAATCTAAAATGCCAATGAGAAGAATTAACAGTGGACTGAAAACAAGCTGGTGATGCAGATGCAGAAGACGGAGCAGCACTAGGGAGATGATAGAGACCATGGGAATGAAAGCCTTTATATAGCACCTTCTTGGTACTCTTGTCCTGTATAATGAACATATCTTTGTCAAAAGTAATAGTGCAATGATTATCAGAAATAAGTTGATGAACAGAAATTAAGTTGGAAGAAATGGAAGGTACATGAAGCATGTTTTAGAGATGGAAAGGAAAAGAAGGAGTAGGGAGAAGACCTTGACCAGTGTGATGAATAGGTAAGACAGTTCCATCACCAACAGTAACCTAATCATGTCCATGATATGGTTGATAAGAAAAGAGATTGTTCAAGTCATTTGTGATATGACTAGTAGCTGCAGAATCAACAACCAATTGGTAGTGGTGGAAGAACTGTCACCAGGAGAACCAGTAGCAGACTGATTTGTATTGGTAATATAGGCTTGATGAGTTTGAGGCCTTGAAGAGTGGAAAGAAGATGTGTCCAATCTGTACCAACACTCTAATGCTGAGTGATTCAATTTTCCACAGATCTGACAAATCACTTGAGAAGAATGAGGATGAGAAGCAGCAGAGTGTGCAGTAGAACTTGATTGATAGGATTGAGATCCTGTGGGACCTTGGCCTGAAATAGAAGATCTGCCTCTTCCTCGAAAAGTAGCATTGCTAGAACTAGAAGTTCCTTTAAAGAACCTGCTACCAGGTCTTCCTCCTCCTCGGCCTCTGTAAGAACCACCTCTAAAGCCACCTCTAGAAGAAGTGCTCGAAACATGATAAGCAAAAGGTAGTTCTGAAGCAAGAGCTTGCTTAGATACAGATTCAACATGAATTGATTCAGAATTTAATAGGGAACAGAGCTCTCCAATGGAAATAGTTTCAACTCTAGTTCTGATTGCTGTTTTGGATGCATTATATTCATCAGGCAATCCATTAAGAATTAGGAGAACTAGATCCTTATCATCAATAGGTGATGCAGCTAAAACCAATTGATCAGCAATGGACTTGATCTGAGTCAAATAAGTATCCATTGTGTGGCCTTTTTTCACAATTTGACTAAGTTTATTCTTCAACTGGTGAATATGTGATCATGACAAAGATGTGAAACGTTTGAGAAGAACACTCCACACTTCATGACTTGTGGAACAATGTAACACAGAGGTGAAGATAGATGGTGATAGAGTTGCAGTTAAGCAACTGAGAAGATGAGAGTTTATCAACATCCAATTTGTGTAAGCTGGATTCTGAACCTCATGATTGTGTTCATCAACAATAGTGGATGATGGACATACCTGTGTGCCATCAACAAAACTGAGAAGCTATGTAGCTTTCAGAATATTGTGAACTTGATTCTTCCAGATAATAAAGTTTGTGGCATCAAGTTTGACAGTGACGAAGGTATTCAGATTTGTAATGAGTAGTGCAAGATTTGGAGGTATGGAAGATGAAGTAGAGGATACAGCAGAAGAGGATAGATTCAGAGACGGCAGGGAAGACGCCATTGATGAATCCTCAAGAACTAATGCTCGCAAGAGATGAGAGCACTGATACCATAACAGATATTTTGCAGAAAGTAAAACTTTTCTATTATTCAGAAAGAATGAATAGTACAATTTACAGAAATGAAGATATTTATAAACTACACAAACTAACTCTGGTTCAAGCTAACTAATGCATAACAAACTACACAAACTAACTCTGGTTCAAGCTAACTAATGCATAACAAACTAACTAACTCTAGTTTATTCTGTAACTACCTAACTACTCTGTTAACTACTTTGTAACTGTCTAACTGATGCAATGATGTAGCCACAGTAGTTGCAGGTGCTGATGATGAGGAAGAAGTTGAAGCTGTCAACTGAGTAGCTGGAGCTGGAGAAGCTTGATCATGAAGCTTGATCATGACTAGAAGCTTGATCATGGCTAGTCTGTTTAACATCATATATATGAATATTTAAGTCAAAGTTTCGAAGTCAAAGGAGGAGAATGGGTATAACTTTACATTGTTTTTGTTTTATTATTGAATTTCAAGTCATTTTATTCAAATTTGTGATGTGTTTCATATGTAGTGTTGGGAAGTGTCCAACAAGTGTCATGTCATTACCTTATTAGAAGTGTCCGCACTTCACAGCTATTGACCAAAGCTCCCCCAATTTCCCCTTGTGAATATTCTAATTGGGATACCTGAATTGGTTTCTCTGAATTTTCATTTTTTTAAATTATTGATTTCTTTAAATTGTCATCACTTGATATTCAGTCCTGATGACTATCACGTTTGAAATGCATTCACTACTTGCTTTCTTTGTAACAAGGAGGAAAACTTATAAAAAATATTGGGAATTTTTATTTTTTGACCAGCAACCAACAAAGAAGAATATTGGGAACTTTGTCTTGATTCTTTTTCCTACTTATTTAATGGCTTCGTGATTAAAAGAAAGGTTAAATCTTCTCTATCTGATTCCTTATAGATTATTCTCTAGTTTTGTTTTTTGGTGCTTATTGAATTGATTGCTAACCAGTTGCAATACTTTAATAGCACATTTTTCATTAACCATGGAAATTTCCTCGCTTTGCTATGTTTCATAAATAAATATTTTTAATGTTAATATTTTTTGTCACATCACTTCCGAAAACTAATTATCTTACTGCAGCAATGGGAAGAACAACCTGACTAGTATTTATTTTATTGAACCCTCCTGATCATGCCTTGAATTAGAAAGTACTACTTTTATCTTTGTAACTTCTCATTTTCTCCTCTGTAATTTATGAATGGTCATCATTCTAATAGTAACACCTTATTTCACATAAAATATATTATTGCTATATGCCCAATTTATATTATTGCATAAACTGAAGTTGAGTTGCTTGATCAACTGAGTTTTAGTTTGGGATTTAAAGCATTTATGTAAAACCGTTATTTGATGGGTCCCACAGTGATTTTTCCTTCAATAACCTTACATGGCAAGGTCCTGATCAGCCTGCTTGTCAGGAGAACGTATAAGAATACTTTTTTCTACTTTAATCCTGCTATATACTTCCAGTTAAGCGGCAATTTTTGTAATTTTGACAATTATCTTTATCTTTCATTTTATTAGGAATCTATACATAAATTTGTTTAAAAGCTCTCTGAAGGAGAACCCCTTGTAAGATGCTCCTTTATTTATTTTTTATTTCCTCATTTTCTAAAGTTTCATAATTAGCTTCTACTTTATCAAGTGAAGTAGAAGGAGATTTCTACTTGGGTAGTCATTTTCTTGCTTAGTGTACATTTATGCTAATTGTTGTTTGGCTGATTCCATAACAGAAAAAGAATTCTTCCATGTATGAAGGATTTCAATTGTCCAAGATGTAAGTATGTTCTTTTGAAGCATCAATAGTGTGAACTATCTTTATTTTCTTGATGTCGGACAGCACTATAATGATTTTAATACAGAATTTCTGTGGGTTTTATTGTGTTTTAAAGCTGAAAATCAGTAAGAATTTTAGGATTTCAATTACTTTAGGGATGACCTAGGTTTAAGGTTGATAAAAATGGGGAAAAGAAGATCAAAACAGGGGCTGTTCAGGAGCTTTGAATAGAGCTTGTGAATAGTAAACTGGAAAAGAAAAAACAAAAAGAAATCTAGGCATCACACCATGATTCCATATACATTCCACCTAGGGTTAGGGTTGCATTATAAAAACTTGAAAGAGGCTTCAAATGAAAGTGTATAAAGGCCTCATATGGGAATTGGCCATTTTAGTGAGATTTTTTGATTTTTTGGCTTTTTTATGAGGTCAAAAAAATTTAATGTGTTTGGGAATAATTATTTTTGGTTGTATGAAATACCATGAATTACTAAGATGTTTGACCCTTTTTTTTATTGGCTTTTTTAGTGATTTTGTTTTACGTTTTGGCTATCCAAAAAGCCAAGTTGCCGAACAGTGCCAAAATATCAACTCCATTAAATTATAACTAAGCTTTAGACTTTCAAAACCAATCTAAGATCGAATAAAGCCCATAAATAAAAGTCAATTAAATAACTTGATCCACAAGACAACCGATGTTAGCAAATCTGAAATTGACCAAAATACCCCTAACCTTAAAACTGACCAGCAGCCTTCTGAACCCAAAAAACATAAATAAGACTCTATCAAGACTAGAAACATAATTTAGATGGTTACAATTGATCCCAATTGAATTCAGCTCGAAACCAAGCAATTTCCAAACATGAATACTTCCTTAATTTTGGTTTTCCTTGCTCCTATTGTGGATTGCATCATTTGTCCTTGTTAAAAAATCATTAAAAATTAACCTCGTATTGTAATGCATAGTTTTAGAACTGCTTATTTTGAGAACATAGTATACCTAACCTCCAAGCTTTTGGCAAGAAAATGTCCTGGGTGATACCAGACCTGTTATTTTTTTTTTTTTTTTTGATCGGCAAAACGAAATCTTTATTGATGAAACAATCAAAGTATGAACTATTACATCAATAAAGAGGAGCTTGGAGCTAAATAAAAGCTCCAAACGCCAGTTGGTGAGGAACCAACAACCGAAAACAAGATAACAGACTAACAGAAAACAGCTAGACCAAACCCAGAACTAAGGGACCAAAGCAAAGACAAAGCAGCAGAGTTCAACCACCAGACCATAGAAAGTCTTCCCAAACAGCACAACCTTCCCATACGTGAACAGACCCCCATAACAGACCAAAAACCTCCCACACTACCCACCAAATCCCAACAGTACATACCTGCCACCTACAACACGGCATACAACATACACCAATCTATAAGCCACATCAACATAGCTAAAACAAGCAGCATACAACACCAAGCAACAAGCGCAAATCCATCAACATACAGCACCAAGCAGCAAACTAGCTAAAACACCCGTACAGCATACACCACTCTACAATTCAAAACATCACACAAACTGAGTAATATCCCATACCAGCCCAGCATACCTCTGAAATCACAACAAAATAACATAACAGTAGTATATCATACCTCAAACATCAAAGCTTAACAACATTCACCAGAGCACTACACCATCCACCCCAGCAAACCAAACAGCTCTATGATACCAGACCTGTTATGATGAATATTGTTACCAAAAGGAAGTGAATTCCATGAACTTTTGAATCAAGCTGGTGCTATTTTATATGCTCTCTAACCTTACTACTTTTATTTTCATTTCGACCCTATAAGTCATTTAGATTATATAAAATAAAAATATATATATAAAAAATTGCAAATTAAGAATTTGAAAAGTTTGTCCATAATACTACAGCCTAGTAGGAAACTAAAAGCCAACCTAACCAAAAGCTTAATCTCATAATTAATGTCTCTTAGAAAAAAATCATAATGTGTCTAGTGCATCTTATGCCATTTCCACCAATATTTCACTTATTGCAGAGTCTTTATTAAATGTAATTTAAAATTGCGTTATGGTATTGTTTATATTTTTTCTTTTTATGGCAGATGGATGCTCGTTACATGTTAACTGTGGTGGAAATGATTTGACTATGAAAGAAAATGATAAAAAGGTTTTGTACGAAGGAGATGCACAAGTCGACGGTGGCGCGGCAAAATATTTTAATAGCATAAATAGTTATTGGGGGTTTCAGTAGCACTGGGAACTTCATGGATGATAGCGATTACCAGAATGCACGTTTTACTGAAGTTGTTCCATCAATAAACATCTTTGAATTATATAGTACGGCACGCATTTTGCCTCTTTCACTTACTTACTTTCGTTACTGCTTAGAAAATGAGAATTACATCGTTAGTCTGCACTTTGCTGAAATACTTTTTACAAATGACAATACATATAGCAGTCTTGGGAAGCGAATATTTGATATTTATATTCAGGTAATTTTGTCATGTCCGTAAACATATACCTTTTTTAATTTTTTTTTTATTAAAGTTACAAGGAATGCTTAATCAATTTTCTTTTTGTCTTAGGGACAATAAGTTAGGTAGGATTTCAATATTGAAGGTGTGGTTGGTGGGGCTCTAAAGCCAGTGATAGAACAATTCAATACCA